TGTGGAACTGGGTTTATTGTATTGTACAGCCCACAGGTTTTACTTTAGGCTTAAAAAGTGGGTTTTTGCTCTTGGCAAGAAAACCTTACCTGAGATCCACAGTGGACTGGTAGGACTCTCAAAGGTCTGTATTGAGTTCTCTTTACTCTGTATGACTCTTGACCAGCTTTTAAGTGGAACAGTTTAATGAGAAACTGGCATAGTCTTATAAATCTCTTCTCTGTCAAGTAGTGCTATTTAAATAGCTCTTCTGGATAAATATTCCCTTAGAACCTGTAAAGGTTTGGAGTACTACTGAACATCATGTTCCTAGGTACTGCAAAATTACTTCATTAAGTAGAAGAAACATTCTGAAAAAAACAGGGTTTGTGCAGCCTAAAGGTTTTAAAAATGTGAATGTCAAAGGAACTAATCTTATTTTTAAAAATTAAAATTCTTATTTCACTTGATGTCTGTTTCAAAAAACATTGAATTCAATTGGAGGTTTTCTATAGCCTTTGGATCATAGTTATTAAGGAGATTGCAACCTTACTCATGCACATTTTTATGCATGATAAGGTATTACAGATGCCATTTTCCAACCAGCAGTGGGACAGTGTTTATTTTTAACATTGAGCGTTAAGGTTAAGTTAAATGGTTAAAGAAGTTTACATACCATGTGTTCATCTCATGGAGACTAACATTTTTACTCGATCATTTCACTTATCCAATTGGGTAGTTTATTGATTCTTGTCACTTTTTTCATCTGAGCTTCCTTATCTAAAAGGTTTTATATTTTATTTTTAAATTGTAAAGGAAGTTTTGATATAGATCTCTTTTACCAAGAGTGTCTTCAGAAATGTTTAATGTTGGTCCTTACTAAATGCAAAAAACCACCAGACTAGGTTTCATCTTTCAAGTGAAAGGAAATGGAGACTTAATTTTGCAAACAGCCAAGTATGTTTACTTTTAAAGTAGCAAGGATCCTTGTTGTTTTCCAGGTCTTCACAGATGCTTTAAGAGAAATAATCTTGGAGATTATTTTAAGAAATAAAGACTTTCTGAAGCCTGTGCATTTTCAGCTGCACAAAGACCTAACCGAATGACAAAGGAGTGGCAGAGTGGAACTGGAGGGAAAATAATAAATCTCCTTATCTTCCATTTTCTGTGTTCTTCCTCCTTTGTCAAAGATTGGGTATACAAAAGGAACTGGATTTGGATGTCAATTCTAGGTAGTGGCATGAGAACCTTTTGACTTTCTGCTTTATGAGAAAGAGTTACATCTGAGACACTTAATTCCAAGCTGTTGTCACTGATTTGAATGTTCTTAGTATGTTGCTCTGCAGGGTAGTTGTCTTGGATGAAAGGTCCTTCTAGCCCAGTATCTGTTCTCCAACAGAGGGCAACATCAGACCTCTAGTAAAGATCATGTCTGGTTCTCAGTGTGGGAAGAGAACTAAGGCCTAGATCCAGGATACTCTAGATGCAGATTATATAGGCATTAAATAGTAGCATTTAGTCCTCCTTATCTATGTTTTGGAAATAATTTCGTAACTTTTGAACACCTGCTGGTTATGTAGGAATAAAAGGTAATAATTCACCTTGAATGAAAGGTTGCTCTGATGAGAACATGTTTTAGTGTCTAAAGAATTGCCTCTAACTTCAGGGCAAAAAAGACTATAAATGCTTTGAAGATAACAAGTTGCCAGTTCTAATTCCCAGAAATATGAACAAAGTCCTCATATTCCTTGTAAGCAGCCTGTAGACCCTGTCTTTCACTGTCAGCCAACCTCTTGAAATCAAGGTGAAGTCTACAGCTGTCACAGTGAATCACCGTATGCAACTTCCAGTATTGAACAAGGGGATGGAAGCTGCTCCTGGTCTTGTGAAGTGCGACTTAATATGAATGGGGCTGCATGATGTGACTGAAGCTTCACAGGAGAACGCAAAGGCATGGGGCTGCCAAATTTTACTAGCATTTGCTGAGGGGGAGTTGTTAATGACACTGGGCAGCAGATGGTCTTAGAAGAGTTGTTAAGACACTGTGGATCGTACTGTAAATATGTGGGTGAATGGAACCAGGATGCTGACAGTTCACTCTCACAGCTCATCATGAGAAGGTGACTCGAGTGGAATTCAGTATTGCCAGAACATGAATGTCTGGGGATTTGGCAGTCTGCTATATATCTGGGAAGAATTTTGCAACATAACAGTGGGAAGGTAGTTGGGTTGTGTAAAGTTCAGAACAGAGAACATGATATGACTAGTCAGCCTTGCTTGACCACTACTGATCTTTGGACCTGAAGGTACTGAACCTGTGCAGTTTAGCTACAAGACCAGTACAGGAGTTTTCAGTCTTCTCATTTTCATTGAATACAAGAGAGCATTCGTTCATATTACAAACGAATCTGAATTGTTGAACCACAAAATAAACTGTTACAGAAAAAGTGTCCTGGCTCTTCCCTACCAAAAGCCTGGTCTTGATCTACTTTTCTGTTTTTCCTTCTCACGAAATAGCTCCATGCCCTCCATCCAAACCAAAAAGTACAATTGTGGATTAGGGCTTTTCATTTTAATTTAACAGAGTGAGACACAAAGTATTTCATTCAAATCCTTTGCTGAATAGCTTACCTATGCAGCTTTTAGTATATCTTGGAGAAAATAATGATATAAAGTATCCTAAGTGTGATTCACAACATAAAATACAGTATTGGGGGAATTATACAGATACATCAGAAGCTGTGCAAGGGCACAGCTCCTGTTGTTCCCTAGGGACACTTACTCATACCTGTCCCCTGACGAAAGAAAACCAAATTGAAAACCTCTAATAAACTAGCCAGTGGTAGCTGAGTTTTGCCCCATATTTGCAAGTGGGATGATCAGGTAGAATTTCAGATTCTTCAGCTGTGTTGTAACTCATTGAAACTAGAGTTCTCTTTGATGGTGGGATCTTCAGTGCAAATGTAATCTTCATGAACAAATCTCTGGAAGCTGTTTTCTTCCTGTCTCTTTGATGTCTGCATGTCATCTTTTTCTGTGTAGTTTCATGGGTTTTTTTGGATTGTTTTGTGGGGTTTGTTTTTGTTGTGGGATTTTTTTTTGTTTGTTTTTTTTTAAATGAGTGTTCACCTTCTTCCTCGAAATGATTCTTTATCTCTCCACAGTCCCCTAGTTTAAGGCAGAAGAGAGAGATAAACTTAAGAATTAATTTATTCTAGAGTGGGGAAACAAGCTGGTTTGGGCAGGTATTTGAAAGAACATATCCACTAAATCTGTTGCTAGTTCAAGGTAGCTCAGTACCTGGGTCACAGAATCACAGAATAGTTCAAATTGGATGACCACAGTGGGTCATCTTGTGATGCCAATTTGTAGGGTTTTTTAGAGCAGTGTAACCTCTTACACTGTCAAAAAGCCAAAACCTTCATAACAAAATTTTTATTAATTACCTCAGTTGTATAACTTCAGGCAAATTGTGTTTGGTCTCTATATTGTTTAGGCTTAAACCTAGTATTTGCTAGTAGTTCTGATTCCTAGTCTTCATGAACATAGTATCTGAGAAGAGCAGAAACATGGTTTGCCTGTCCATGGCATATCATCAAAGTCAAATTATAAAGTCTAATTTCTGAAATGAAAACATTTTAATATTGGTAATTACTGTTCTGGTGAAATATTGAGACTGGAAACAGCTGAATTATGTCAATTAAAATCCTCAGTTAACTTCTGTTAGGGATAATTTAAAACAGCAGTAGTAGTACATTACTCTACTTTCTGAAGGCACATAATTCTCACTATCGTGAAATGACAGATAGGCATGGACTAGTTGGAAAATACTGCAAAGGGAGGTCTTTTACATGTTCAGATTTACCTAATGACTTTATAAAAAAGTCTGCTAAAAGCCTCCTGCAATGAATATGACCCTCAACAGTAATATTTATGTAGTGTAATTAGAGTCTTCGTTAGGGATCCCATTATTGTTTACAATGTAATCAGACTTACAATCTAGTAAATGTGACATACTGTAATGTTCTGCTTTGTAAACATTATTGACTCCATTTTAAGACTGAGATTGCCTCATACCAACAAATAAAAGAAAATCATGGCCTCATAAAACCTTCTAATTATTTAGATGTGCACTCTGCAGGTTCCTAATGCAGTCAAAGTTGAGACTGAACCAAGGTGAATACTGAACACAGGTGCAGGCTTCAGTGGAGGTGACTTGCCAACCTCCTTTACACCTCAGCTGGCTGCTTTAAGCTCACTAAGTTTACAGGGGAAAAGATGCAAATCTGAATAGGTTTTTAAGCTCATTAGCACAGACATATTCATACTGTACTTCTGCCTTATATTTCATGTTTCTAGATAATAACAACCATTATTGATCTGTTGGTAATCCACTGTAGCCATGTGTGTGTATTGATCAGTCTGTCACTCAAGGGAGGTAACTGAAAATAGGCTTGGCTAAACAGTTCTTCTTTCAGGGCTGAACTTAATTTTTTATAAATTTTGTTGTATCTTAAATGACCAAGAACTTGGATACTAGATTATTTAAGCAGTAAGCAGAATGGGCCATTGCTAAAAATGAGGTTTTGTTTTTCTTGTTGCTTAAGACCTTTAGTACAACTACTGTCTTGGTATAACTACTTGTATCATTCATTTTTTTTCCACTTAAATCATGAAATGATTCGAGTCTCTTAAGCTCTGCTCTTTTGAGACCTGTGTGTGCTACATGAACTGAGAGGACAGCCTGTGCCTGTTTGTTAGTCTATAAGAGCATTTGTTGTCCTTGTCTCTCTCTCTGCAGTGGTGTTTGTTAGTCAAAATATCTTACAATTCTGATAGTAATTTTTGAAGTTTTGAATTCCAGACAGGAGGCTTTTTGAACATAAATTTTGCTTTTATTGCAGTAACAATGAGATGCTCCTTGTACTGCAGTGACTGCAAACACCAGGTGCTAGCAGAGCATCTCTAGTCTAGGTAGCTTGCTCTAATTGCAGTCTCTCACTGTGAAAACTTTCCCACAGCTGTGCCAGCAAACATCGCAGACCTGAGAAATATAGAAGTGCTCAACTTTTTCAACAACCAGATTGAGGAGCTGCCTACACAGATTAGCAGCCTTCAGAAGCTCAAACACCTGAACCTTGGGTGCGTATCTTAATGCAAAAATTTGCTGTAATAGAGGTGCAATTAAAAGTCATTGCAACTGAACCTGGAAGTTCTTATTTTTTGCTGCTGAAGTTTCTTTTTGCTATTGAAGTTTCTTATTGCAAGTGTTTGTGAGGATAACTCGGCAATTACGACTTCAGAGTGTTCAGCTAATGTCCTGAATAAGCAGATACTTAGAAGTGATCAAGCACTTACTCTGGTATACTGATAACCATTTAAGGGCAAAGCAACTCATTCATCAGATACTGAGGTCAAACTGAACAATTATTGAATTTTTACTTCCCTAGCAACTGCCTCTTGCTTCTGGAGTTGCTGCAGAAGAATCAGGCTCTATTTCCTATTCTGCTTTAAAAAAAAAATTCCACATTAATCTGGAACTTTAATTCCAAAGTTCCAAATCTGGGATTATAGACATTTCAATTTATATTAAACCTGTAAAAGAAGCAGCAAATCTTTAGATGTGGTATGCATTTAATTCAAAGAGCTAGTATTGACTGAATTTGAGCCAGGAGTGTTTTTGTTAAGTGTTCAGGTAATATATTCCAGTAGAGTTGGTAATACTTTATAATAACTACAGTTGCGGAGGGCTTTCTTGAGTTAAGAAAACAAAGCATAGGACCTTCTTAAAATTAAATGGGTATATTAAAGTGTAACTATTTAGGAAAGCACTGTTAAGCATAAGCTTTAGCACTATAGGCTTCTCATAGAAAGAACGCTGGTATTTTATAAAGTCAAACTTCTGAGCACCGTAAACTAAGCATTTCTAACTCTTCTGAATAGCAACTGATTTTCACTAGGCTCTGTGTATCCTGCTTTTAGATACTTTTGTAAAGCGCTGGTAATTGAATTGCATCTGTTGGAATGCCAGTAAATGTTTTAATGATGATCTGTCTTCCCTGGTCTTTATTTGGTCGTAGTAGATCTTTAGCTTTCCTTAATATCTGTTTGAACCGGAGTTGCTTTTCAGAGCAAATATTAATCAGGATTCTATATATTTTGAGAGTTAAATCCATATTTATAGACGTGTTGCAGTACATGAAGGAAGAAGTTGGGCACTTCCCATGGATTAAAGCAGTGAAAATTGTTAGTATAGTTCAAATACTAGTCTTCATTAATGAAAAAAGAAATGTAGCACCAAAGACCACTTGGTGTTAGGGCCAACAGACATTTGGGTCTGGAACCACAGTTTCCACCCTCATGTATCACGTGGCCTAAAGTCTTACAGATTAAATGCTCTTCCTTCTTAATCCTGTCCTTACCCATAATCTTCCAGGTACAGGATTTACCGCCTAGCCTTAGCTCTGCAAAATGGGTTCTGCTTTGCAGGTCCTTGGAGTCAGTGAAGAGGAAACTCTTCTGGCCTACTAGTTTTTCAGGAGGCAGCCAAGAAACCCTTTTGTCATCTGCAGTGCGTGTGTTAGAAGGCTTCAGAACAGCCCTCCAGAGGAGAGGGGAAGCTTGAATAAGAGCAGAGTTTATTTTTGGGAGAGTTTTGTTGCAGAAAGGTCAAGTGGTGGAGTGGAAAGAGGAAAAGTGTACTGCTGCACTGAAAGCTTAAAAGTGTAAAATTTGGACGACAGGTGAGGCACAGTTTCTGAGGCACGAGCTCAGTGTTTGAACTTTTGCAGGGCCAAATAGTGCTGGGCAGGGTCTTTGAGCTGGTTCGCTTTGCATGTCAAAGGATAGATACCATTCTGCCTGTTGTCAATAGGGAGAATATTCATTCTCACCCTGTTCTTTGGTTAAAAAAGGGAAAGCTGTCAGTGCCACTTAGTGAAAAACCCTTTTCACTAGTGAAAAACTATCTGCTTTAGTCCTGTTTGCTGTAAAGAACAGTTTTTAAAACAGTGACGAGTCTGCAGTAACAATAGCGGAGAGAAGCTTTCTGTATTTTAATAATTACTACTATGCAGCAGTAGTAGGTGCATGCCCATGATAGGACTCCTTATGGGGGATGAGGAGGAAGGAGTTCATCTGGAGTTTAGCTACAGAGAGCTGATCTCTACAGGTTCTTGTTCTGGTGGCACTGGCTTATGCAAAAGTGGGAAAAATGAGAGTTTGTGAAAGAAATGGTGTATGTGCTTCTCCTGCCTTTGCTACCATGGATGTGTAGTGTTTCTTATTTTTGGGTACCCAAATTTGTTAGTACATTTACTGGAGTTTTTATAGTTTTAAATGTTAGATCATGCTTCATGCATTCATATATCATCTCCTCTTGACTTCATTTGTGACTGTTGTTCTATATCACTTTAGCATCAAAAAGAGAAAATTCAGAATATGTTTAGAGATAACATCTGAAAGGTCATCTTTGTTTCCAGTCATCACATAACAATAAAATCCCGTTTTTGACAATGGCTACCTGTACAGGCTCTTCCTGAAGATGCCTACCTTTTCTGTTGGGCTTTCAAACCCGAGTGACAACTAAAGCAAGATCCATACACACAAGATATATATTTGATGTATGTGCAATAGGAACAGTATGAATACGAAACTGCCAGGTGGTTCTTTTCTGTTCATATGATAAACAGCCAGAGCTCTAGTTCATACACAAACAGTAAGGTTCTGTGAAGAGATCTCCAGCTCTGTGCCTGCCTTCATTATTGCAGCAGCTCTAGTGATTTTCTGGATCACCTTGTTCAAGCTCTTTGAGGTCAGAGAGAAGTTACTGTTTTCTGTGCTTTGTCTGCTCCAGGTTATCGGAGAAATCCCTTCCTTCTCTTAGTTTTCGTTATGTTATGGCTGTTGCCAGTGGGAACTGCTATCCTAAACCCTCTTAAGACTGGCTGATTGAGGTATATTTAGATTAGGCCTTATCAATCACAGGACTGACATTTTATTTACTTCATGCTCCTTGTGCATCAATACTTATCTAGTGACACAGATTTGCTGTTCTTAAGAAGGGGTTTGAGCAGCAGTTATCAATGAACGCAAATACTGTGCAGTTGAGGTATTCCTCTTTGTATTTGGTGCCATGGTGAAGAACTATGTGGTATATGGCAGAATGGCACGTGGTCAAGATGATGTGCAAAAGAGTAATTTGTAGTTTAGCTAGTCATCTACAAGAACCAGCTTTCTCTGTGGAACACTTTTAAGCTGAGCATGGCGCTGTGATACGTCTCTCACTTGTGCTATATGTTTCAGATGTGGCTGCTGGTTGACATAACAGACTTGCACTTGCGAGTGCATAAGTTCGGGTATATTTATTGGAGTGAAAGAGTAAAAAAAGATCTGCATTGCAAGAGGGTTGCTCAGTATCTCAGAGCATCAACCCCTTTTCAAAACAAAAGGAAATCTTGACGTAGATTAAATTTTTTTATGGGAAAAAGAAACAAAACCAAAAACAAGTCTTGTAGCCTGTATTATTCCTACTAGATGAAGTGAATACTGATGTCATGTTCTTTTTCTTTCCTCTTTACCTGCAGCATGAACAGGTTAAACACCTTGCCAAGAGGATTTGGATCTTTACCAGCTCTAGAAGTTCTTGACTTGACTTACAACAACTTAAATGAAAATTCCCTACCAGGAAACTTCTTCTATCTAAGTAAGAAACTTTTCTAAAAACCTTACAAATCTTCATGATATGGTGCTTTGCTTTCTGCAGTTGAAATTTATTTGATGGAGACCAAAATCCAACAGAATTTTTTCTGATATTTATGTTTTTCTTTTAATATATCTTGAATAATTCTACATAGCACAGCAATATTTATCACTGATATACAGTCACCTGACACCTTTGGACATCAGAAGACTTGCTTAGTTCTTCTGAGTAATATTTCCTTGGGTCTCATACTCAGTTAAAACTTCATGGAGGGTTGCAAGCCTCAGGGGAAAATAAACAGTTTTGCAGCACAACTGCTGTGTGTTGAGTCTGAAAACAAATGCGTTCCTGATGGTTCATTACTGAAATAGTTTTAACAGCGTGTTGATGTTGAAGTGTCCAGTATGTTAAAACATACAGTAGGGTTACAAAGCTTGGCAGAGGAATGGTAGACCTAAGCTGACCTTTGCATATGTTAAAAATATACACTCAAGTTAAAGAAAGGTATTGTAATGCATATGTGCAAAATGGTTGCCTAAGCAACTTGAATTCTGGCACTTTCTGGATTTCAGTGATTCTGCTACCTTACTGGTCTTTTCCATGTACTCTGCTGAAGTGGCTTCAGGTTCAGTGCATTCAGCATCAAAGTGACAGGCGAGGGGAGAGGAAGGAGTGCCGCTGTCTGAGGGATGTTGTGATTGTAACCTGGCAGAGGAGAATTTTAAGTCAGCATTATTAAAAATGGTCACATTTATTGAAATGAAAAGAGGAGGAGTAAGACAAATGGGATCTCCTCTGGTGGAGAGGAGAGGTTTTGCTGATCTGACCACCTTCTTTCCTGCTGCACCTGATAGTTCTTTGTGAGTCTCCATTTTAATTTTTTTTTCAAACTGTCGTGTATGCTTATTCGATAATAGCAAGCTACGTGATTGTGCTGGGTCATCTTTTTTTTTGTGAATTTCATATAGACTTTGCATGGAAATTACAAATTACACAGTTTGAGTTTTCTATATTGCTCTAGCTTCAGATCTCTTTGCCAGTGTTAGGTTGTGCTTTCTGTAGAGCTTAACATAGATGTGTATTTGTCAAAAAAAATTTTTTAAATGTTTGTTTAGGATGCAAATTGATGTAATAAATAAGAATCGGGGGTAATAAAGAGTAATGACTGTATTCTGACATCTGAGCATTCATACCATATGCCAGAATCTGCCAGAGATTACTATTGCAGAAATTGTTAATTGTGCTAGTCCTTTTGAATGTAGGTGTTTTCTTGAACTCATCAACAATACAATAAGCCAGTAAATCTAAGTTTGACCTGCTTGTTATTATTGTGAGCCCTGGGTATGTCAAGGGCTTTTCACCAAGTCAGGGTTATTAATCAAACCTGACTCCTTTTTATTGATTAGACCTCAAATGGTTGGGTTATATGCCACCCTGTTTATATATTGCTATTTAATTTGCAGCCACCCTGCGTGCACTCTATCTAAGTGACAACGATTTTGAAATCCTGCCGCCAGATATTGGGAAGCTCACAAAGTTGCAGATAGTAAGTAATTTATCTAAATTCTTGGAAAATCAATTCACTTTTGCAACACTTGTAGGAATAGAATACAGTCAATTTGAAGAGTGGTAGGCTATGTTTGCAGCAATAGACCACTACACCTGGAACTATTTCTTGTTTACCAGAAGACACTTGTAAATAAATTGGAAGAATTGAGCATTTAGGAGAATGGTGGGGGAAGAGGGAGTAGAGTTCTCTTTTGAGCTGCTTTATGGTAACCGAAAATTGTTCTGAATTTATTTTTGTTCTTAGCTGAGTCTTAGAGACAATGACCTGATATCACTGCCTAAAGAAATTGGTGAGCTCACCCAGCTTAAGGAACTGCATATCCAGGGAAATCGTCTTACTGTGCTGCCCCCAGAACTGGGTAAGATTATGGATGATCATTTATTTATTTGTCTAATAACAATGACGATGCACTGTATTTCCTCTGAAATGATTATGCTTAAGTCATTATATAAGCTAATATTTACTTTCCGTTGAGAAATACTCACTTTTTGACTCCTACTGGATATACAGGAGGAGCTGGAAGATGATGAGTGTTTGGTTTTATTACTTTTTTACATGTTACATTTTTCCTGTATATTTATACACCTGACTGCCAATTTGTTTATAGCATCTTGCTTTATATAATGTATCATAAATATTGGGTCTGCAAAACAATTCTTGTCTCTGACTGGGTTTTGAGAACACTATTTAGATTAGCCAGAATTATATTAAGCAAAAAGCACAGCAGCATAAGTGGCTTTTTAGTGAGTGTTCCTGTAAAAATGGAAGTTTGATCAACCAGAGTGAAATATAGGTAAATTAGAGGAATTTTTTGGTTTTCGGTAACCTACTTTTCTTAGTGAATTGATAGCTCTTTCACTTAAAGCAGTGGAGCAGGTTGATATACTTTGAATTTGTGATATTGGCCATTTAAATACAGTTATAGGTGGCTTCTTTTAACCTATAAATTGGAGTTTTTATTTGAAACTTAAGTATTGATTTTGCTGAATTTGCATTGCAGTATTCCATTTTGTGAGGGGCATTGTCCCTGTTTACCCCAAGCCAAAATTTGGTTTCAGATCTTTAAATATTTAAAAATATTCTCATTGAGAATAATGCAGCTCCATCAATTACCTGTGTTTGAAACAGCTGTTACACAGGGTCTGTTCCTTGGTTTTTGTTATTGTGGACTGTTACATGGTGAAGCTGCTTTGTTTCTACTGGCACCTTCCAAATAATAGTTCCCAAAACTCAGAAGGATAGTGACTAAAGTTAGGGTAATAAAGTAAAATTATTTGTTGTCATAAGAACTTGCACTGACCCACTGGAGAATGTGGCAGCTATGTGCTTAAATGTGACAGTCTGCAACTTACGCTTTTTGTGTCTGCTTTTCTTCTGTGAGGCGGGGGAAGATGTTTGTTTTGACTCTTATTTATTTACCCACTACGGGGTTTTTTGCCTTTCCCCCTCACCACTGGTGGATGAAATTTGTTCTCTTTTCCTTCATTTCAGATGTTTATTTCTTGACACAGGTATACTTTCCTTAGCTTTTGTGTAAGTAATATTCATTTATAAAGTCTCTTTCAACAGCAGTAACATTTCAGATGCATGTAGTATCTGTAAATGTACTTTTCTGTAGCTTCCTAAATTACAGCCTTTGTGTTTTTTTCAGAAAGTGAACGTTAAATGCTGCACTGAGTCTAACCACGTTCTTTGACTAATTAAATATTCTAAACATGCTACTGCCTTACAAACTCAGCAGCAAATCCCTGTTAAATGGTTTTACCATCAAAATCCAACCCAAATGGAAATGTTTGAAAGAAAATTCTCAATGTTTATTTTGCACTGACCTGCAAAACTCGGCCAGGGGAAGTGTTTTTCCATATTTAGCATTTGTTTGCATTATAGAACAGTATCACAGTCTGGTAGAAAAAGGACTTGTAGTTTTGCCCCAGCTGATCAAGCTGAGGTGCATTGACGCATCTAAGTCCTTTGTTACCTCTGGTCTTTACTACTCAAAAGATATTCTATAAATTTTACTTTTCATTTATTAATTTATTAATTTTATGGCCTTGCTCAGTATCTTCATTCGTCATCAGTTGGCATAATTTCTATCACAGGCTATGCCGTGCATAATGCTAGAACTATCTCAAATGTTTAAAATAGATTTTGAAGTATATTTCCAAAGAACATTACACTGTAGTCTAGATTTGTAACTTGTGCAACTTGCAGGCATATTTACTGTGAAAAGTAATGTTCTTGTTTATTAAACATCTAGGCACGCATCTAGGGAATGGAACACCAGGCTTGCTTTGGAAGGCTTGTTGGAGATCAAGTAGGAGTAGGCCACAGGCAAATGTGAATCTCTGAATGGTTAGAAAGTCACTTCATCTCTGCAGCCCTGTTTTCCCTTCCGCAAATGAAGGCAATTTAGAGAAGCACACACACCTTTGCAGTCAGTTTTAAAGTCTGCCAATGACAGGTGGTATGAGAGGGTTGGAACCTACTGTGTGGACTGCCAATGCCATAGTCACCACATGAGGGAAAACCATCTTTGTCTGCGGTCCGAGTTCTCCCTCCTAAATTTTTAAAATTGAATTATAATGTACTCAGAACTATCCAAATACTTTTTGCTGTGCATGTTGGATAAATAGTTTTGCAGTGAGCAGGTCCTATTTGCATTAATTGGAGCTACTGCTGTTCCATTTAAAGTAAACAAACTTTCATAATTAAAGGTGCTGAAGGCTTTTGACTGGCTTAGTTCAGGCACTGGTGGACAGCAGAGAGTCATTACATGTTCATTTACGAGGGAGATGGGCACAGTATAATATATCAGGATAAAACAGTGTATTTGGATGAGGAGAACAGCGTGTGTGTGTTGCATTAAACGGTCTTTTAAAAGTGATGGAAATAAGTGCAGAAGAAGGCATGGAGAATAGGGTATGAAAAAAGGCCACAGGCCTTGGGACTGCAACTTTGGTACGGAGAGAGATGACAATAAATAAAACCCTACAGTCTGCCTGTAATGTCACCTGATGTGATTGAACGTGGCAGCAGTGAAAAGGAGATTGGCATTATCCTACTTTGTGTTTAGTAGAGAATACCTGTCACTAATTTGAGAAAAATATTCCTGCCCAAGAGGAAACGAGGGCACTAAAAGAATGCACTGGTGGTCTGGTTGTCTGTAAATACAGTATGTGTGAGTGATGAACACAGGAAATGGCCAGGAGTAGGTGGGTGGAATTTGCAGCTTGTTTTTATCATTTGTCTCTCAAAACCTCGTTCATGAGGAATGGTGGTGGGCAGTCATATATAAACTTTAAAGAGGCACTGGCATTTTTTTCCCTAGCATTTAAAAGGTTATGTGCTGCATTGCAAGACAAATAAATCATGATTCACTGCAACAACAGAGTTGCAGTCAGTTATATAAATTGCCAAGGAGGCACTAAATCTGTCGCTTTGTGTATTCTGACCATTTAACAATGAGAATGGTGTTTGGAAAGAAAGCTGAATAGAAACAGGAACCACATAAGCGGTAGATGCAATTAGTAACACCAGTGATGGTGTTTTAATGTTCATTGTATGGTCATCTAGGTGCACCCATATGTGCCACAATAAAGGTTTTCTTAGCAGAGTCAGGACGGTAAGAGTGGTATTTGGTGCAGAGTATTCACAAAGATGTCATTAAATAGCCACCCAGAGAATGTAACCAGCTTATCTGTAGGTTTGAGGTTTTGATGTGAAAACGAAGGGTATGATTTTTAAACCCCAGATTCTAATGTTGCCTGTGTGCATTACCCTGCTGCCAATACATGTGTACACAAGTACACGAGATTTGCTCATGTTTATGCATATGGAAGAACAGAGATTTCTAAGAATACATTTCTGCTTACCATCCTCCTTTTTCAAAATTGAATGTTGGCATCCGTGGCTTGTAAGTTGCTATTCAATACTGTTCTAGTTTATCAAATAATTTCCTCAGATAAAGGGAAACACTATCAAAAGTGTAAAGTTACATACATATTTGAAAAGTAGAAAATTCAAGCATTTAAAAAAAAAATATCTTGATGGGGTAAGTAGCCATGTTCCTTTTTAAGGAGCATGAAACATTTTGTAAATTAAATCTCTATGTCAGAGTGGCTAAGTAATTCTTTCATCATTCTTTAGTTTTGAACGGCTAAATTACCTTCTGTGGATAAAGAATTGGCTTTAAATTTAAAGTCCAAGGAATACTTCCAAGAGTATTTCCATCACGAGAAGACCTTTTAAAATTTAGGCTTTTGAAATGGCTCTAGAATTTGTGAATTAATATTATATTACACAAAGTAGTTGCTGCAGTTGTTTGTTCAAATTAATATTAATCGACATAGCAGTTTACTTAGGTAATTATAACAGGCATGTGCAAACACAGGAATCACTTATTTCACAAAAGATATTTCTTTTCTAAATTCACTTGACGTAAATGCCAAACTTTTTTTATTTTAGTATAAATTGTCACTGCACTCTGTCCGTGTCACAACACAGCACTGCTCACACCTACAGTACAGGTCATTGGTGCTTGTTGGAAGCCTGAACACCCTGGGGCTCTTTGGACAACAGTTCTGAGCACTGGAACAACTAATTGATACCTTATAATTTAAAAACTTATGTGTTTCTACTTTTGGAACTAAGACAAAGGTGGATAAACAAAGTAACTTGCTTTCTAGGACTGCTGATGCAGCAGTTATTAGTGAAGGAACAGTAGAAAAAATGTATGTAACAAGATAGGCTATGGAGAGGCTATTATGTAGAAAAGCTTCTGTGAAAATCTGTGAATGTAGTTAGAAACCAGGATGATTGCAGAGAGTATTTGGTGGGGATTAAGGTGTATGGGAAGAGGGCAACTCTGCAGTTTCGTTATACACAGGAAGATGTTTCTATAACCCATTATTTAGATTTACACCACAGGCATTCTTTTCCTTACACTGCTGTAATTCTTGCCAAACTTTTCAAGATGCAGATTTGATCTTGCTTTAGTTTTGAAAATATACCAGTCTTACAGTCACTTCCCAGATGACTACAGTGTGTGTGTGGGCTCTCCTAATGTTGACTGTACTCTGATTAGAAGTATGATCAACATAATAATGATGTTTCTGTGAGCAGATATTTCATCTGTTGTGTTAGAGTTGTTGTAGGTAAGAATACCATAATTAGAGCCAATCTGAGTAAACGTTGCATTTGTGGTTATATTTGGTTCATTTTGTGTTTCCTAGTACTTAAAAGTGGTTTCGCTCTTCTGAGTTCTTGGCAACCTGTGTTTGAATGGAAGTTTCAAAGGTGTGGGGCAAAAGCAATACATTGAATCCTTTTTGAAGTAATTTTTTTAAATTAACTAGAGTT